AAGAGTGGCATTGTTTTTCATTTTATAAATCTCTTTACTATCTGGTTTAATATAGAAGAGTTGGATTCTCATAACTGCTTCTGTATTCAGTCTGTTGTGATGTGCTGCTTTGGTTGAGGTGGACTGTTTTTTTGAGACAGTTTTGCTCTGTTGCCCAGGTTGGAGTGGTGTGATCTCAACTCACTGCAGGCTTCCTGCCTCCTGGGTTCAAGTGATTCTCATGCCTCAGTCTCCCGAGTAGCTGGGATTACAGGCGTGTGCCACCACAATGAGGTAATGTTTGTATTTTCAGTAGAGACAGGGTTTCACAATGTTGGCCAGGCTGGTCTCAAACTCCTGACCTCAAGTGATCCGCCCGTCTCAGCCTCCCAAAGTGCTGAAATTACAGGCATGAGCCACCATGCCCGGCCCTTGGTTGAGGTATTTTTAAAAACCTGGCTTTATACACATACAAAGTTAAAAATGGAAGAGTATTTTAATAGCTTTTTCAGAAAACTGTGGCAATTCTTCTTTGATTCTACACAAAACTTTAATAAGCAAACTTTTCTTTATCACATTAAAATCCATCAGTCTATCTTATAGTTTAAATGCATCTTTCATCTACGGATGATTTTGTAACATCATGCATTGGTCATCTGGAAAACACTGGTTCACTGAGTTACGTAGATCTTCAAATGTTGGCACATTCATTAAAAAAAAAATTCCATCATTGTTGAGGCTAAAAAAAATAAGAAAAAAAAAAAATATATATATATATATTTTTGAGACGGAGTCTCACTCTGTCACCCAGGCTGGAGTGCAGTGGCGCCATCTCGGCTCACCTTTGCTTCCTAGGTTCAAGCGATTCTCCTGCCTCAGCCTCCTGAGTAGTTGGGATTACAGGCGCCGGCCACCACACCTGACTAATTTTTTTTGTATCTTTAGTAGAGATGAGATTTCACCATGTTGGCCAAGCTGGTCTTGAACTCCTGACCTCAGGTGAGCCACCTGCTCCGCCTCCCAAAGTGCTGGGATTACAAGCATGAGCCACCATGCCCAGCCTAAAAATATTTTTAAAATGTCAATTGTTAATATTACCAATCTTCAGAAAAGACTAAGTATTGGGAAGCTATCAAGCACATGAATACAAGTTATCCAAAATTCTATTTTTCCCTGGAAAGCTTAGATTTTATCATTGGCAACAAATACTGTCACTTGTTTTATGTAATAGGTTTGCTTTACTTATTCTCAAGAAAATGGCTGCCAAATACCCAAGTGTGAACAACTATGGTTTGTCAGTTGTTCTTTCAGGTAAAATAGTATTCCATAAAAAAAGCAGCTAGTTCAACATGCAACTCTAACAACAACACAAGTGCTTTTCCTGGTAACCATCATGTTTTGGTATGCAGCAGAAACATTTTAGGTATACTTCCTCTTTTTTTTTTTTTCTTTTTTTGAGACAGGGTCTCACTGTGTTGTTGAGTACAATGGTGTGTTATCAGCCTACGGCAACCTCCACCTCTCCCGGGCTTGGGCAATCCTTCTGCCACAGCCTCCCAAGTAGCTGGGACCACAGGTGTGCACCACCACACACAGCTAATTTTTTGTATTTTTGTAGAGACAGGGTTTTACTATGTTACCAGGCTGGTCTGGAACTCCTAGGCTCAAGCAATCTGCTCACATCAGCCTCCCAAAGTGCTGTGATTACAGGCATGAGCTACTGCACCTGCTCATACTGAAAAGATGTTTACTCATGACTCTAGAGTTAATAAAATTCATACAGTTTTTGCTGCTTTACCAAAGACATTCTTTCTTTTTTTTTTTTTTTTTTTTTGAGACGGAGTTTCGCTCTTGTTACCCAGGCTGGAGTGCAATGGCGCGATCTCGGCTCACCGCAACCTCCGCCTCCTGGGTTCAGGCAATTCTCCTGCCTCAGCCTCCTGAGTAGCTGGGATTACAGGCACGCACCACCATGCCCAGCTAATTTTTTGTATTTTTAGTAGAGGCGGGGTTTCACCATGCTGACCAGGATGGTCTCGATCTCTTGACCTTGTGATACACCCGCCTCGGCCTCCCAAAGTGCTGGGATTACAGGCTTGAGCCACCGCGCCTGGCCATTCTTTCTTTTTTAATTTTACTTTTTTAATGGGAGTTCTGGGCTTTTAAACAATTGTTAACATTCTTAATTAAAATCAGTAGTTTTTTTTAAAAAGTTACGGCAGTCAAAAAATACAATGAATACTGGTACAGTTACTACCATCATGATCACGCTGAGGAATCACTCATTTTACCCATGTCTGCTTTTGCACCATCAATGCGAATGTCAATGCATTGAAAAAGTCAAAGAATGTTTCGGTTTTGCTTATGAAAACAGTTTTGACCTCATGGCTTCCCTGAAAGGGTCCTGGAGACCTCCAGAGATCCCTAGACCATGCGCTGAGAGTTCTAATTTAACAAATAACTTACTTGATAAACTTTATGAAAGATTTAATATACTTTTAAATAAATTGTTTTGGTACTTTACAAAGCTTAAATGCATCAAAAAGGCTCATTGAACCTAGGCATCTGTGGGATTTTCCCAATGATTACCATTAATAGATTCTATGACTCTAAATGAGAAACCTTTAAAAAGTAAATTGAAGAGACAGACGAAATAATAACAACTAGGAGATCAAGGTAACTGTGGCTGCCAACCTCAAAGACAGTCCCCAATGCTCCTCACCTTCTGTGGAGTCCCATTCACACACTCTACCAGAGTGAATTTCGTTTCTATGACCAATAGCATATAGCGGAAGTGATAATGTGCCATTTCCAATATTACACTGTAAAAGAATGAGGCTTTTGCCTGAGTTCTTGCTCTCTTGCATGACTTGCTCTAGGAGAAGAAAGCTGCCATGCTGCAAGCAGCCTTATCTGTGCACAGGCCAGGAGCTGAAGTATCCAGCCAACAGGCAGTAAGGGAGTGAGTCTTGTTAACAACTATGTGAATATGGAAGCAGTTGCCTTGAAATGACTGCAAGCCTAGCTGACAGCTTGACTGTAACCTTATGAGAAACCCTGAGCCAAAACTACTCAGTTAAACCACTAACAGACTCCTGATCCTTGGAAACTGAGAGATAATATTAACTGTTTTGAGCTGCTTAGTCTTGGAGTCATTTGTTTCACTTCAGTAACAATAAACATAAGGTACCTGGTGAAGACTGGAAAAGCAGAACAGAGTCAAAGTAAGAAAATGGCTGACTAAAAGAGCTTAGATTTTTCTAATAGACTTTTTCTAATAAACCACCCAAATAAGGAGATCTACGAGCTTAAATAATAATAAAATAATAAATACGCAGCTGAAAGATGAAAGCCCACAAAGACTCTTCCAGAAGAGGGGCCAGACGGCACATCTACAGCCCTTGTGTTCTAAAGGAGTTGCTACAAGTTGAGCATTCTAAATCTGAAAATCCAAAATCGGGAAGCCTCCAATGAGCATTTCCTCTGACCACCATGTTGGCACTCAGAAAGTTTCAGATTTGGGGGCATATGGGATTTCAGATTTTTGGATGTGAATTATATTTGCTCAACCTAAATTTAATGCAAATATTCCAAAATTTGAAAAAAAAAAAAATCTGAAATCCAAAATGCTTCTGGTCCCAAGCATTTTGGATGAGGGATATTCAATCTGTACTTAATAGCAGTTAAATGAATTACTCTCAACTGGTACCCATTCAAAAGATCCTTAACTGTCTTTAAAGTAGGTATGAATTTCTCCTCCCTTGACAATGCCTTTTCTGGCATATGCCCCCTCCAACCTAACCCTGATTTGGAAATTACTAATATTTAAGCATTTTTTACAAGACCAAAAGTAGTGTCTGCCCAAAGTCCTTAATTGAATAAATAAAATATCTGCACCTCACGCACACTAGTTGTATTTTAATAGGGAACCCAAATACCTTATACACAGCCAAGGGACAGAAGGTTTTCCTTGCTTAGTAAGGTTGTCTCTTTCTACCCCACCCCACTTTTGGGAGCCCATCTTTTTGGGGGTGCTCTTTTCATTTCTTAACTATTTCCCTATTTTCCACAACCAGGGCAGTGGTGAGCTGATATTTTCCATCTTCTCCTCTGCATCTGCTTCCAAACCCCCAGCCTTGGTTTTGGGGGAAGAAAAATCTTCTTCTGACTGGTTCCCACCGCCACTTCTGTGTTTTAAATTAAGATAAGTTCTACTGTTTGAAGCTACTTGAGCCACAACACAGTGACCATCCCCCAAAATTCCTAGACACTCCACTAGCTTTTTTCTTGAATTCAAGAACACTGCCGGTGCCAGCCTTCTATCATTCTTCTACCATTACTATTTTGTTATCTGGCTCATTATCCCAGCACCTCTGATTCTAATCTATCTGCTCAAAAGAGGTGTTCTATAAGCCCCTCTTTCTGCAGACAGATAGAACTCAAAGTCAGTACCACATTTCCCAAGGCTCCAGCTTATCTCCTTGGTTTCATATAAACAAGGGTGATCAAACTCTAGGCCAGAGTTACTTAGAGCCCTTGTGGAGTGCTCCGGAATGGTGCAATAACCTCCAAATTGTCAGTGCTTCAATGCCAAGGCCACAAGAAAGACCACCCAAAATTACAAAAACTGAGTACCTGCCATTACTTCTCAAGCCTTGGGTAGGAAAGGGGGCACGTGAAGAGATAACATCTCGTGTGTGTGTGTGTGTGTGTGTGTGTGTGTGTG